GCCGGAACAGGCACTTTTCTTGTGCTCTCCTGCAGCATTATTACATGTCTGCCAGTGCTTTGGAGCTGTTTTGCTTCAATGTAATCTGATTTTATTTAACAGAGATCAAATTAATTGCTAAAGCAAGAGAAATAAATTCATCCGCTTTTTCTTATATCGTTACAAAGATTTTGCTTCCTTGATCTCAGAAGCTAGATTTTTTTTTTTAAGACCTGACATAATGTGAGCAAAATGATATCAGACAAATAGTCTCCTCTGTTTTGTGTTGTAAGTTTTGAGTTATATAACTCAAACTGCTCCTTCTGTCTTGATTTTTCTCTTTCTTTCTCTTTTTTGGGTACTGCATTATTTTGCAGGTATCTCACAAGTTCAAGGCAAAATCGACTGTCTTAACCACTAAAACACTAGCAGAAATAGCAGTATTATAATTTTATAATCTGATAATTCACTCTCTCTTACTATTTTTGTGATTATATTTTGCCTTTTCTACCTGTGGATGTAGCAGTCATGAAGTGTCCTCACAGAACTACTACTGGGAGCCTCAGTGAATTTTCTCCACAGTTCTAAGATAGCAGTACAGCAAGGTCAATGAACTTTATTCTGGGTACTATCTTTGATCGTATTATCAAATGAGTTGATAGGGGAATAAAGATCAACTACAGTGACTTAGCTGGCAATTTTAATTTTTGCTGAACAAGGTTCTTAAAGAATGTGTCGTCTACACCCACTAAAATTCAAGATAAAGGCATTTCAACCATGTTGTCTTAGAAAACTGGAAACAGCTTAGTGTGATGGCCAGTTTCCAACTATTTAACAGTAGTCAATTTTTGTATTCTGTTTCATTTCCCAATTTTGGATATTCTTTATTTCACCTGTTGCTGGGGGGGAATTTATAAAAAATATCAATAACCCAACACAACATCTTGCAAGCTGTGTTTCTTCAACCATATGTATTGAAGTTTGCTAAAATCCTAATCTTCATATGTTTTAGCTTTAAATAAGTATTTACCAGAATACACTGATTCCGCTGCATAATATATACCTTATACAGCAGAAAAAGTCTATAATTTTCTGGGTTTGCTGACATTCGTGTTAGCTAAACTGAAAACTTAGCAATTTCATTTTGAATTTGAAAATTAATTTTTAAGCATACATAAGATCACTCTTGTGGTTAGCATTCTTCTGCCTTCATACTAGCGTTAGTTATTTACAGAGTGACCAATACGGTGTTGGACCCTTTTTACAAATAATACTGTGCGAATTCACTGTTAAAAGCTAGGCTTGGTGGAGTGGGAACCACAGCTACTGACAGAGACACAGGGTCCTGTTCATGCTGGTGGGCACCTGGGGAGGTCTCCAGCCCCTGCCCAGCATGGGCTCAGACCAGGCTGCTCAGGGCTTCACCCAGCTGGAACATGAACCCCCAAGGATGAAGACCCTGCTCCCCAAGGGGAAAAGGCTCCTCCTTATCTCCAGCCTGAGCCTCTCACGTTTCAGCTTGTGCTGCTGCCTCTCCTGCCATGCACTGCTGCAAAGAGCCTGGCTGCATCTCCTCCATCCCCTCCTGTCTGTGCTGGGGATGCTGTTAAGAATAGTTTCATTCCCTTGCTCTGAGGTCTTTGGACCCCAACTTCTGTGTTAATTTCCCTCACTCATGTCTACATTAGTTCTTTTTGAATTCAGAACCGTATCGGTGTAAAGCAAACACTGAATTTGTGAAAATTAAATCATCATGAATCTACATGGGCTTATGTTTGGTCTTAGCTAAGCCAGGCTGTACAGACAAATTAGGGGCTATTGACTTCTGTTACTCAGGAGTGTAGTTCTTTACGGGCTGTCTTCCTAAAGACATGCTGTGATGAGCTGCTTCAAGGGACTGTAGGGCATAGGGGAAGGAGTGTTCATCCCAGGTCTCTTCAAAGAGGCATGCCAAATGTGGGAGATGGGTATTTGAGCTGCTGTTACCTCTGTAGTGACCAAGAGGCAGGGTAAATGAGGTGAGCCAGCAGTGGAGCGAGTTGCCCTCCAGCATTTCACCGCCCTGATTAATACTAAGAGTGTAACTGCCTTCACAGGTGGCTCGTAAAACTGTAATAATTAAAGATATATTCAGTGTTGCGATCTATCAGCACAGCTCTTCTAGGTGGGATGTAGTTCTGTCACCGAAATTCGGGAATGAAAGAAAACTCCTTAACACTAATTTAGCATTAAGAAGCAGGCATTTCCTTTATTGCAGCGCTGGGTGTCAGGAGGATAGTTCCTCAAATCAGGCACACCTAATGCTGGTTCTCTTGTCATATTTATACACAAATGTTACAAAGATTACAAAGTGGTACACTCCCCGTTCCAATAATTGGTTCATATTTCTTCGCTTAGTATGCAAACTAGAACGCATGCTCAGTTCTGTTCTCCGCCTCTATCTTTTGAGTAGGTGGTATAATTTGGGTAGGGGGCTTATGGGTCGGTGGTCGTGGGGACCCTGGCCCAAATTACCTTTCCCCTAGTTTCTCAGTATTTCAGTGTTGGTAATTGTTTGCTATACGCCTCAGCAGGATAAGGATGTTGCTGGAGGCAATTAATGTCCTCCCTTTCTGCAAAGTATGTACATAAGGACCTTGAAGTGTCTTGTAGCTCCTCCTTTTTCTCATGATGTGTAGCAGGTGCTCATTCTAAGAATTGTTAGCCTTCTACCTAAAGTAATAATGAATAGTTTCTTATCACATATAATACAAGCAGGCCTTCATTACGGGCCTTTCTTCTTGGCTACATTTTCTTATTATGTATAATATAAGCAGGCCTTCGTTACAGGCCTATCTTTTTGGCTACAGTTCTACTTTTAAGCTTAATTGCTACCTAAGCTGCTTACAGTCTTACTAGGCTTTTTGGTTTGTGCCTTGCGTCAGTTTGGAAACTGGTACTATCTCAGAGAGCTCTAGCACAAGGTCAGTGTCTTCACGTGTTATAAGTGTTAAGCTATATTTGCTGAGAAATGACTCTCTAGAAGAAACGTCCAGTTGGGCAAACAAAGGAAATGCTATCTGCCACATAGTACAGTATTTGTGGTATGTGTTTACTGCAGAAATCTCACTCTTTATGCATTTTTATGTGTGACATTGGGCTAGTGAGCATTTGGAGTTAAACGAGCAAATTCATTACCATTGTCAAAAAATCATTGATGTTTGAATTCTGCAAGAATACAACCCTCCCTCTCAAACTGCACTCAAACTGTCTTTCATCAGACTTTTGGTTTGCAAGTGGTGAAGGAAGACCTCTGCAGTGTTAAAACTCTCACTTAAAAAAAAACAAGCAAGTGCATCTGTCTGGAATAAACTGTGTGGGAGGAGTATGGGGGAGTGGAGCTGCTGACTCCTAGGCTTTAGAAACTTTGTCCTGGATGTTGCTGAGTTCAAGTATAATAAACACATGACTCTTGAGTCTCCAGAAAAAATTGCAGTTTACTGAAAACAAGAAATTAATCTTTATACATTAGATGTAATAGTAACACTGAGTAAAAGGCAAAAAAGAAATGAACTTTGAAGTGAGAACTGAAGATCAGTAAAAAAATAACTTTGTGGAAGGTATGATGTGACTGTGGAAGAAATTAATTGAAAACCAGAGGATTTTTTTAAAAAATTAATCTTTATGCAAGGAATATAATAGTAGTGCTTTGAGTAAAAAGAAGAGATGAGTTTTGAAATCAGAACTAAAATTATAATATCCTTGTTTATGGCTGCAGAAGAAATTAATTCAAAACCCAGAGAATTATTTGCCACCAGATTTCACAGCATTAACTGTTTTGACTTGATCTCTTTTGCTGGAGTAATTTATGGAGAGAAAATAGATTTTGAGACATCCAGGGCCTAAGCTATTCTGCTTTGGTGCTTTGTAGCCTTATATTCCAAAGTCTGCTTTTGCAGTTGCGGTGCAGAATGAACAGAACTCAGTGCAACTGCCCCGGTACAGCAGTTTCCAAGGTCAGGATGGGGGGTGGCGAGGGAAGTAAAGAAGATCTGCTTTCCTCATCTAGGAGGACCAGTGTCCAATTCCACCTGGGTCTATTACGGTGGGCAAGTCTATTGCTCTGCATAATCTTAGACTACTAACTGTCTTTCTGCATCCTCAGGTATCAAAATATTTTGTAAATCTTTCCCTTTGGCAGATGTTGAGTAGCATTATTCATTGACTGCCAGGAACAGGTTGACTGAAGGTGATTTTTGCACAGCTTTCAGGGCACTGAGAAGCATTGAGAAGCAAGACCAAAGACTAAACTATAGTTGGGGGAGGGAGACAGTGCAGATGCTTTCCATTTGAACATTTAAGAAGCATTCTGTTGTAATCTCTCCAAACTAGATTGGCAGACTCATTTAAAAGTTAATCTTAAATGAAATTTCTTAAGCAAGAAATACTGGTGAAGCATATTAAAATGGAATGAAAAGAACTGTTCCATTTTTATCAGTTATTTAGGGAAAATGCGAGAAAATCAAGTTCTTTAATACTAAGAAATAAATCCTGGGTGTTTGGTGTGAGCCCAGTTGACACAAATATGGTTCTTTTAGAAACACTAAATCAAGTTGTGGATGGCTATGGCTTCATCCAGTGCTGATTCTGCAAGGTTTAGCTAATGAAAGATGCCTTCTGAGATACATTTTAACGCATGTGCAAGAGACCCAGAATGTACGTTGCATTAGCACAAAAAGGGCTCCCAAAACCATTTGCCTGCAGCTGTTTCTCTCACTATTGTTTCCATGTTGGTTGAAATCCTGTTACTAGTCAGTTTTTGCATTTTCCAGAATTTTGGTAGAATTGAAACTTCCCCGGAATATTTTACCAGGTTATTATTTTATCTTTTCTGTTCTTGGTTTGCACCTTAGTCTGCTACTGTTTATACTTGCATCACCAATGTTGCATTTTTTTACACAGGGGTACAAGGCATTTCAGTTAAAAACTGTTAGCATTATATGTAACTGTAGTTTTCTGTCATGATTTCTTTTCAATTAGGTGAAAATGAAATCCTTGAAACTCTATACAATATTGCAAGCAAGAACAAGATATGGAGGTCCTATATAGGCATGGGTTATTACAACTGCTCAGTGCCTCAGCCCATTACACGGAATTTATTGGAGAATGCAGGATGGTAATGTACAACATTTTCTTTTTAGATGCATTATGTATAAATATACGTTTGAAGTTCATTTGAGCATAGACAAATATACCCCAAAACGATTTTTTGTTTTTACTAAGGCTTTCATGTATTTGATACTGATGAGTAAGTGCAGGAACTGTGTTGTTCATGGTGAAGCTAGCGAGGAAAAAGAATAGTTTTGAATTTAGAAGATGATTTTTCTGTGAAGTATTTCACTGATTTTTGTGACTTCTATTCACAGCTCCTATTTATTATTAACTAGAACAAGAATATTTGTTTGCTTTAAGGAAGTATACAGACTTCTCCTAAACTAAAAAAGTAATTCTAAAGTAATTATTTCCTAACTTCTGCCTAAAGTTAAACCAGCTCCCTCCTCCACTGGCATATGCAATTTTGGGTGAAGGTAGTTAGATACTACGCAATACTCTGATTATGGTTTTCTTATGAGGAAGTAAGAAGCCTTGAAAATTTAAAATACTTTTCTCTTGGTATTTCTTTATTGGGTTTTTTTTTTTTTTTTTTTTTTTGAAGCCACTGACCTTCAAGAGTTTATGTGTATCCATAAAGTATATTCTTTTCTGAACAAATAATTCACTGGTGCCTGACAATAGGTGCACAGCAGTACTTGACAATTCATTTCTAAAGAGCCTGAGAATCTTGTACTTTGTTCTTATCTCACCCACCTAATGTTTCAGTTTTTTAGGACAAGCAAAAGAACAGCCTGTCTGACAGACTCGAATTTGAATGTTACTGAGGGTTTTTTGTTTGTTGGGGTTTTTTTACTTAAATGTAAAAAAATATTTTAATGCATTTATTTATATTTTATGAACAACATTAATCTAAATAATAATGGAGTTTTGTCTCTTGATGTCCTTTTCCTGACAAAGGCACTAAGGCCTGTCTATAAGTACTCATTTAACATGGACATTTCTCAGTAGAACTGTAACTCAGAAATGATGCAATAGAAAAACTAAATTTACTATGGAGTCTCACTTTCCAACAGACTGAATGTCACTGATACCCTGCATTGCCTCATTGGGTTTAGAAGTTCCCTTATCTCTAGTCAGTAACATCCTTCTTTTTGGTACAGTATTAAAATAATAACTGTAATCTTTATTACTGAGTAATTTTTACTTTCATAAAAGCAGTATTTAAAGGTTATATACATGTAAAAAAAGCCCTAACCAACCAAAGAGAGTCAAACTAGTCAGTGTAAAAAGCCACTGTTAGTTAAATGCTATTAGTTTTTGTACTTCGGGGTGCCATAAATGGGTCTATGTATCTGTAGACCTCCACATCTATGTATTATTAGACTTGTCTGCTTTATTTGCACCTCAAACTTTTGAACTGACAAAAAAGTTGCACCGTTTGGACTCAAGGAATCTATACAAACATCTATTCAAAGTTTTATTTGGCTCTGTCCCCACCTACGTTTTACAAAGTATGCTATATAAATACTTCAGTACAGTGCCACAAAATAAATAATCAGTTGTTAGAGACAAAAATAAGAACAGCTAAAAAGTGCCCCAAAATGAACCACATATTTTTAATTCCTAACAAATTATATAGCATTAGTGAATCAACTGGAAGAGTCTATACAGAAATGTGCTCTTGGAGTGTCCAGTAAAGTCAAACTAGATGGCTAAAAGCTGAACTTTTAGATGACTAAAGTGAAGGCTAAAATATTTTTGGGTAGAGGGCGTATTTTGTATGTGTGTAAAAGCAGCTATACAGAATTTATGGAAGCTGTTTAAGAAACCGCACCTCTCCTTACATCTGCTGAGTGTGTAACACTTTCTGTGCTAACGCGCTTCACGTTGCAGCTCCAAGAGAAATAAGTGCTGCAAGTGCAGGCTTATTGTTTCTGCTTAATTCTGCCTCTCTCACATGACTCGTAGTTTCTCATTGCTTGGCATTCATTAGAGCAAGGATTGCCTTGGAATACAACATAAGTTTATAAAAGTTTGTTCATAGAAGCCTGTGAACAGACAAGTGAAGGACTTCACCGTATTTAGGACACTTGGACTTGCTAGGAGGAAGTAGGAAGCAAAGGGGTAGATTTTAGGAGGAAACTGTAGAACAAAATGTATTTTTGGCTGAAAATGAGACTACTGACCCACACTGCTTTCTTTAGAAAATTACCACAAAAGTCTTCCCAACTCTCAGATTCTGTTAAGAAAATACTCAACACTGTTGGACTTTCAAAATGTTTTGAAGCATTTCGACAATGATCTATATCTCTGTTCACCATAAAAGCTGAATAGCTTAATTACTGTGAGATAAAATTGTCTGGCCAAAATTACGCACAACTAAGTGTCTGGGAAGTCAGCATTCAGAAATTTATTGTACCGGTAGTTTTAAAAAAAGCATAGGTGTCCTTTTCTTTTAAGTCTGAATCCCATTTTAACTCCTTCTGTATTCATGAAACAAGCTATTTCAAAACACTTAGGGTAGATATTTTTCAGATAACTTTTTATCCAAAGAACACTTTGATTGAAAGTTAGAGAACAAGCAGAGAAATTTCTGTCACAGACCTGAAATGCTGCAGTTAAAAATCCAGTCTCCTATGTGAGAAATTTGACTTAGTCACAGAAGGTAGAGGATAAGTATCCCTTATTTTTGATACTTGATTTCACAGATTCACAGAATCACAGATTAGTAGGGGTTGGAAGGGACCTCTAGAGATCATCTAATCCAACCCCCCTGCTAAAGCAGCATCACCTATTGAACAGGATGGCATCCAGGTGGGTTTTGAATATCTCCAGAGAAGGAGACTCCACAACCTCTCTGGGCAGCCTGTTCCAGTGCTCGGTCACCCTCACAGTGAAGAAGTTTTTCCTCATATTCAGATGGAACTTTCTGTGTTCCACTTTGTGCCCGTTGCCCCTTGTCCTGTCACTGGGCACCACTGCCAAGAGTCTGGCCTCATCCTCTTGATACCTGCTCTTTAGATATTTATAAGTATTTATGAGATCCTTTCTCAGTCTTCTCTTCTCCAGGCTAAACAGACCCAGCTCTCTCCGCCTTTCCTCATACAAGAGATGCTCCAGTCCCTTAATCATCCTTGTAGCCCTCCAGTGGACTCTCTCCAGGAGTTCCCTGTCTTTCTTGAACTGGGGAGCCCAGAACTGGGCACAGAACTCCAGACGTGGCCTCCCCAGGGCAGAGTAGTGGGGGAGGATAACCTCCCTCAACCTGCTGGCCACGCTCTTCTTAATGCAGCCCAGGATACCATGGGCCTTCTTGGCCATGAGGACATACTGCTTGCTCATGGAGAGCTTGTTGTCCACCAGGACTCCCAGGTCCTTCTCTGCAGTGCTGCTTCCCAGCAGGCCAACCCCTAACCTGTACTGGTGTCTGGGGTTGTTCTTCCCTAGGTGCAGGACCCTACACTTGCCCGTGTTGATTTTCATTTGGTTCATCTCCGCCCAATTCTACCCAATTTCCTTTTGGGTTTGGTTACTGGCTGCTATCACTTGCTTGTTCGTAGAAGCCTGTAAGTAACGATTCCATGCTAACATGAGGTGGAAGTCTTAGAAGTATGTTCCATACACTACTTAGTTGATATTAGCAAATATATATTAGCCTGTTTTTTTCCAAACAAACAAGTAAATAGCAGACCAGTTTGTAACTTTATCTTTAGAACATCTCAACTCTAAAATGCAGGCAGAAGGATTTCTTTTGGGGCATACCACCAATTATGTGACTTTCAGCACTTACTCCTCAAATGTATGAATACCTGTCATCTGTCTGCTGGTATGGATGCATGGTCTTTATTCTGCTGTACCCCATATTAACATATTAATTAAACTTTTTCACACTCAATGTGCTAAGCTGTTTCCC